ATGGGTGTGTCTAAAGACTGCCAAGTAGGAGAGCTCCAGGCTGGAGACACAGACCTCGAAGAGAAAGCATGAAGCCCACAGGAAGTAGGTCTTGCAACGCTATGAGAAACGTGGTCCATAAAAAGGAAGGTGTGCTGACTGGACCTCTGGATGTGGGGGTGAGAGGCTGCGATGGAGAAGGGACTGCTGCCCCCGACTGTTGAATATTTACCATGAGCTGAGACTTATTTTCTTTTTTATGAGGTAGGTCATTCTGGAGCCGTGGCTGTAGCTCAGTCAGTAGAGTGTGCTCCACAAACATGAAGACCCAAGTTTGCTGCCCATTACCCTTATAAGAAAGTTGGGCATGCTTGCAATCCCGGCACTGAGGATACAGAGTCAGATAATATCCCTGGGACTTGCCTAGCCTAAAACAATGAGCCCTGAGTCCCAGTGAGATACCTTGTCTCAAAAATCAAGGTGGGGGCCGGGCGGTGGTGGCGCACGCCTTTAATCCCAGCACTCGGGAGGCAGAGCCATGCGGATCTCTGTGAGTTCGAGGCCAGCCTGGGCTACCAAGTGAGTCCCAGGAAAGGCGCAAAGCTACACAGAGAAACCCTGTCTCGAAAAAACCAAAAAAAAAAAATCAAGGTGGATGGCTCCTTAGGAACAACACCTGAGATTGACCTTTGACCTCCACATGGTCATGCACATGCATACCATGTACACCCCCAATGTATGCATCTGCACACACACATTAACACACAAGGTAGTTAATTTTGAAAACAAATATAGCAGAATAATTTTATTAGTCATTTACTTATTTGTTATATCTAGCTTTTTGGCTTTTTTGGGGGAGGGATGGACAGGGTTTCTCTGTGTAGCCTTGGCTGTTCTGGAACTCACTCTGTAGACCAGGCTGGCCTCGAACTCACAGAGATCCACCTGCGTCTGCCTCCCAAGTGCTGGGATTAAAGGCGTGCACCACCACTGCCCAGTTTATCTAGAACATTTTTATTAGTCCTTTAAGATATTTTTTTATTTTACATGTATGAATGCTTTGCCTGCATGTATGCCTGGGCACCACATATGTGTCTAGTGCCCACAGAGGCCAGAAGAAGGCATCAGATTCCCCAGAACTGGAGTTTCAGATAATTGTGAGCCACCATGTGGGTGCTGGGAATCGAACATGGGTTCTCTGGAAAAGCAGCCAGTGCTCTTAACTGTTGAACCAGCCCCCCTTTTTAGCCTTTTCATGTTTCTCTATTTTTCTCTCAGTAGCACTTCCAAGAATAGTGAACTTGTTGCATGAAACTTTTTTTTTTTTTTGGTTTTTCGAGACAGGGTTTCTCTGTGTAGCTTTGCGCCTTTTCCTGGAACTCACTTGGTAGCCCAGGCTGGTCTCGAACTCACAGAGATCCGCCTGGCTCTGCCTCCCAGTGCTGGGATTAAAGGCATGTGCCACCACCGCCTGGCTCACGTGAAACTTTTTTAAGAAAACAGTTTTAAAAATTACATGTAAATTGAACCTCATCTTTCTGACTTACACTGTTTGTTCCAAAATCTGTTGTGAGCCTTCCATCTGCAAAGGCTCCTCTGAATTCTGGTTTAAGTTACTCTCTGTGAAGAAACGTGGAGGGTTTGTTGTGAGGGCTTACATCTCTAATGTCAGAGAACACCGATGTTGGCGAGAACGGCCTCCTCCCCTTCAGTGCTACGTCCCCGTTCATCTACTTCCTGTTTCTTCTGCTGCTGCTGTGACAAAGCCACTGAAGGGCTGGTGAGATGGCTCATCGGACAAAGGCACTTGCCCTACAAGCCTACTGACCTGAGCTCAGTCTCTGCAGCGTGTGTAATGCTAGGAGAGAGCGGAATCCACGAAGCTGTCCTTTGACCGCCGCATGTATACCATGACACATGTATCACCCTCCACATCGCACGCACAGAATAATGATTTTTTTAATTAAAACAATTTCAAATTGCAAGGGAGTTATTCCAACTTGTAGTTCAAGGAGCCTCTCCGTCATGGAGGAGATGGAAAGGCGAGGGCCCTTGAGGCAGCTGTCACATTGCATCCCCGATGCTACCTTTAGACGCATTTCTCCACTTGCACAATCCAAGCTCCCAACAAAAGAGTGGTGCCACCCACAGTGGGCAGGTCTCCCACTCTCAGTGGAATTGAGACAACCTCCCACAGACATGTCCAGAGGCTGGCCTCCCAGGTGATTGTGGATTCTGTCAAGTTGAAGATAGTCGTCACACTTCTTGTTCTTAGTGCCCTAACCACGGTTACTAAGAAAAGCTGCTTGGCCATGAATGCTCAGGCAGCAGTGTGTGTATGTGGGGGACATGGCTACATGGCACCAGGCCTTGCCAAGCTGCTGGCAACTGCAGTCCTGCCCAATCCTTCCTGCTTTTCAAGGAAAGACATGTCATTTTTCGTGTGTGTGTGTGTGTGTGTGTGTCTGTGTGTGTGTGTGTGTCTGTGTCTGTGTGTGTCTGTGTGTGTGCATGCGTGCGCGTGCGTGTGCGTGTGCAGAGAAATTAAACAGGATAAGATTATGAACCTGTGGAGAAAGTAGATCTATAGGATGTATTTCTGCTGTCCATTTTTACTGGTAGAAACAATCACCCACGCACAATTCCAGAAAGATTAAGTTAGAGACAAGGCAAAGCAAAGTAGAACTAAAGTTAGATAAAGAAACCGAAACAATGGTCACACCAGAAACCCCAGCTAGGAGCGGCTGCATAAGTGACCGAAGGCCTGCGCTTCCTCGTTTCCAGAACTAAAGCTGGTGAGCGCATATGTCGTTTCTTTGTCAGAACTGAAGGATTCATAGGAAGATGCCCTTTCCCTGGGACCAAAAGTGATACAAGAATTTATCAAATGATGCTTGTGTAAAGGAGCTAAATAGCACAATGGGGCGCAGCTTACAACAGACCCTTTACAAAAAAGTTAAGAGGAGTTTTTGTGTGGACATCTGGTCCCACTGAATAGATGTCATGAGCTAAATGCTATATAGACTCCAGGACTGGCAAGACATTGCCACTGGCAGCTAGAGAAATATTACCGAGTTGTATGCTTTCTGGAGACTGTATATACTGATGGCATAGGGAGGGGAGCTAGGGGTTGCATGGTGAGTCTGTCTTGGAGACCAGAACAGGGTATTGTTTCACATTTAGATGCAAGGAGGAATTGCCGAGAGTGAGACCTGAGTTACTGTCTGCATTTGTTTTAAAGGGGAAGGTACTGGAACAGAACAGATTGTATCATGTGAAGTCAGGGTCTTCATCTCATGTGTGGCTTAGGTCCCTGTGTGCTGTGTATTTGTTACTGTGGACAAGCGTAAAGGCTGCTGCTGTGGTCACGAGGGTGTCAGTAGGCCCTGGTCATCCCAGGTTCACAGTACAACATACAGAGAATGACAAGATTATTCACCCCCCCCCCACACACACACACAGTGGTGTAAGAATGTGTGGTCTGTCTTAATTGTCAGCTTGATTGGGTTGAGAAGGATGTAGGAGATTTGTAAAGCATGGCCCCGGTTGTAGCAGAAAGGTTAAGAGGGAAAGACCCACCTGAATGTGGGCAGCACCAGGCTGGGGGCTTGACTAGAGTAAAAGGGGGTCAGCTAACCAGGGCTCCTTTGTCTCCTCCCTCTACCTCTTCCCCTCCCTCCTCCTCCCACCACAGCTGCCCTGTTCGGTCACACTCTTCCAAGATCAACTAAAACCTCTGAACCGCTGGGACGTTTTTCACAGCACCAGCAAGTCTAACTAAAGAGAGTGGGTTCTTCAGGCTGCAGGCTGCAGGCTGCATGCACAGCATCCTTAGACCATCTGGGAGCCATTGTACCTTTCATTCATTCTGCTGTAGGAAGCTGTGATGAGACCCATTAGCAAAGACTTAGAAACGTACTTTCCTGGTTTAGGGTCTTGTCATCTCTGTTTGTCTTCATTTAAAACCTCTGGTCTTGTCTGATTATAATGAAGGAGAAATCAAAGTGGTCTGGTTCTCAGCAGGTCGTGTGGAGAGGAGCCAGGTGTCCCTGGTGCTCAGACCATCCGAGGAATGGGTTAGATATGGCTCCTTCCATTCTTGCTGTTTCTCTGAGCAGATACCTCTCATAAATGTACCACTCACTTATGGGAAACTTAAAAATAAGTTAGATTATTTCTGCTTTATGAATTATGTTTGGATCAGATTGTTAAGGTTATCTTTGAAAACATATAAAAGAGGCTGGGGGTATGGCTCAATGGTAAAACCATTGACCACATATAGAGGCCAGGGATTCAGTCCTCAGCAACATATGCACACCACACCACCCCCACTCCGCACCCCCCACTTCTGCACCCCCATCAAATGTAGCTAGGTGTGTTGTTACATGCACGCCCTTACTCCCAATACTTAGGAAGCAGAGGCAGGCCTATCTCTGTGAATTCAGTTCCAGCCTGGCCTACATATCTAGTCAGCAGGACTTGGGATGTGACTCACCTAGCATGTGTGTGTGATAGCCTAGCTTTAATCCCCAGATCCTTTGTGGGGGAGGGGATTTCAAAGAAGGCAGAGGCAGGTGGATCTCTGAGTCTAGATAACAATAGGACCGTGTCTTAAGGGGAAAGTCAGATGAACAGAGGATGCTTCTAAAAGACCATGATGCCACTCGGCTCTAGAGTCTCAGAGAAGTAGCCGAGTGGGGAGAGACCCTTTCTGCTTGGACATACAGAAACTTGCCCTCCCCATATTTGGACACACACACACATAGCCAAGACTTCGCAGCAGGCAGGGGAAGGAGTCCTGGGAGGATTTCCAACTACAGCTACTAGCAATGGCATGAGAAACAGTCTGGGGCGAGAAGGTTGGGCTTCTAATGTTGACCTCCAAGTCTTAGGAAGAGCAACAGGATGAGGTAAAAGTCTGAGTTTTCATGTGAAAAACAGTTTTCCCCAGAAGTATCAAACAGCCTAGAAATGAACAAGTCACTGATGGAAGGCCCCTGACCGTTTGTTTCTTGTTTCAGATGACAGTCATGTCCCTCTCCAGGGACCTCAAGGACGACTTTCACAGTGACACAGTGCTCTCCATCTTAAACGAGCAGCGCATCCGGGGCATTTTATGTGATGTCACCATCATTGTGGAAGACACCAAGTTTAAAGCCCACAGCAATGTCTTGGCTGCCTCAAGCCTTTATTTCAAAAATATATTTTGGAGCCATACGATCTGTATTTCCAGCCACGTCCTGGAGCTGGATGATCTGAAAGCCGAAGTGTTTACAGAAATACTTAATTATATCTACAGCTCCACTGTTGTGGTCAAGAGACAGGAAACTGTCACTGATCTTGCAGCTGCGGGGAAAAAGCTGGGAATATCATTCTTGGAAGACCTTAGTGACCGCAACTTCTCAAATTCCCCAGGTCCCTATGTAGTCTGCATTACTGAAAAGGGTGTGGTTAAAGAAGAAAAAAATGAAAAAAGGCATGAAGAACCAGCTGTTACCAATGGGCCAAGGATCACAAATGCATTTTCCATCATTGAAACAGAAAATAGTAATAACATGTTTTCTCCACTGGACTTGAGGGCAAGCTTCAAAAAGGTGTCTGATTCCATGAGAACAGCCAGCCTCTGCCAGGAGAGGACCAGCATCTGCCACGAGGCAGAGCCTGTCCGCACGCTTGCTGAACATTCGTATGCCGTTTCTTCCATCACTGAGGCTTACAGGAGTCAGCCTGTACGGGAACACGACAGCAGTTTATCTGGTAAAACAGGAAAAGAAAATGACGAAGCGCTTGCCACAAAAGCAAAGCCATGCCGAAAGCCAAAGACCCCAGCCCAGGATTCTGACTCAACTACAGAAAATGCGCCACGGCTTCCAGTAACCAACCCAGAAGTTAATGACGAGAGAAGTCCACAGCCAGCTCCAATTCTGCCACACTCAACACCTCCCAGCAATGAAGGAGAGGTCCATTTTCCCAGGGAAGAGGAAAAGCAACCCCCTGATCTTCCGGGTCCAACAGCAGCAGAGGCCCCGCCCCTTGTTTATAATTGCAGTTGCTGTTCCAAATCCTTTGACAGCAGCACACTGCTCAGTGCCCACATGCAGCTCCACAAGGCAGCCCAGGAGCCTTTGGTATGCAAGTACTGCAACAAGCAGTTCACCACCCTCAACAGGTTGGGTCGGCATGAACAGATCTGTATGAGGTCTAGCCACATGCCCATCCCAGGAGAAACCCAACCGTTTTTAGAAAACTATCCCACTATTGGACAAAATGGAAGTGCATTCACAAGTCCAGAATCCTTAGTACCAGAAAACAGGATGGGTGAACTTCCCAGCACTGGGAGTGCCTTGCCAGACACGGACCACATGGTGAAATTTGTGAATGGGCAGATGCTCTACAGTTGCACTGTGTGCAAACGTAGTTATGTGACTTTATCCAGCCTCCGAAGGCATGCAAATGTGCACTCATGGAGAAGAACATACCCTTGCCATTACTGCAACAAGGTCTTCGCACTGGCCGAGTACAGGACACGGCATGAAATCTGGCATACTGGAGAGAGGCGGTACCAGTGCATATTTTGTCTCGAAACTTTTATGACCTACTACATACTAAAAAACCATCAGAAGTCTTTTCATGCCATAGATCACAGACTCTCCATCAACAAAAAAACTGCAAACGGAGGCTTGAAGCCTCCTGTCTATCCATACAAACTTTACAGGCTCTTGCCTATGAGATGCAAGAGGGCACCTTATAAGAGCTTCCGGAATTCTTCCTACGCAAGTTCTCGAGAAAACAGCCAAAGGAGTGAGTCTGCGCCGGATACATTTGTTGTTCTGAATCTGCAAAGCTCTGACATGCCCACACTGAACTTGCAAGACGGCAGAAACACCTTGACCAGAAGCCCCGCCATCCCAGTGGAAACACCTTCACATGAGGGCACACCCACTCCTGCCAAAGTGAAAAATACGGAAGGCTTCAAGTGGAAAAAGGAGGCACTGAAAACTGGCCTTGTCGAGCACTTTGATGCAACTGGGGTGTCAGTTTCTTCCACTGGAAACTCTGTCAGTGCCAGCCTCCAGGCAGAGCCCACCCATGTTTCATCTGCGGGGAAGGGCAGTGAGCACTCAGCCTCTGTGATCAGCTATGGTGGCTCGGTGCCCTCTGTCATTGTGCACAGCAGCCAGTTTTCATCAGTGATCAAGCACAGCAACACGGTTGCTGCCCTGACCAGCAACCACGAAGCCCCGTCACAACCAGTCATCAGTCCGTCCCTGAAAGGGGATAGCAGGCCTGAGGTGGAGAAAGCCAGCAAACTTGCAAGCAGACCCAAAAGCGTTAAGGAGAAAAAGAAAGCTATTCCATGTAACAAGGGAGAAATAACAGAGGAGGCGAAATACATTGCCGATCATGGCGGGTCTTTGGGCAAAACCACTGATGTCGTCGAAGGAACCAGTAAAACCGAAACTTACATTGCCAAACCTGCTCTGCCCGGCACCTCCACAAACAGCAACGTTGCACCCCTTTGTCAAATAACAGTGAAAATTGGGAATGAAGCCATTGTGAAAAGGCACATCCTTGGGTCAAAGCTGTTCTACAGAAGAGGGAGAAAACCCAAGTATCAAATGCAGGAGGAGACGTTGCCTCAGGAGAGTGACCCAGAAACCCATGGGGACAGCCTTGGGCTTTGCCAGACTGACTACGTAGAGATGAGTGAAGCGTTTGATGAAGCAAGTGACCAGGATTCCACTGATAAGCCGTGGCGCCCGTACTACAACTACAAGCCCAAGAAGAAATCCAAACAGTTGAGAAAAATGAGAAGAGTCAAGTGGAGGAAGGAGCACAGGAGCAGAAGCCCCAGCAGGAGGTGCAGATACCCAGCTGAACTGGATCGTGCAGAGGCAAAGCCACCTCCGGATAAGGCTTTGGAAGAAGAAGAAAATAAAGAGATGCCCAAGCTACAGTGTGAGCTCTGTGATGGCGACAAAGCAGCAGGGGCGGAAGCGGAAGGCAAGCCCCACCAACATCTCACGGTGAAGCCTTACATCTGCGAGCTCTGTGCAAAGCAGTTCCAGAGCCCCTCCACTCTCAAGATGCACATGAGATGCCACACTGGAGAGAAGCCATACCAGTGTAAGACCTGTGGGCGGTGCTTCTCAGTGCAAGGAAACTTACAGAAACATGAGCGCATCCACCTGGGCGTGAAGGAGTTCATCTGTCAGTATTGCAACAAGGCGTTCACGTTGAACGAGACTCTCAAAATCCATGAGAGAATCCACACTGGGGAAAAACGTTACCACTGTCAGTTCTGCTTTCAGGGTTTTTTGTATCTTTCCACAAAAAGGAATCATGAGCGGAGGCATGTTCGGGAGCATGACGGGAAAGGCTTTGCTTGTTTCCAATGCCCCAAAATATGCAAAACAGCTGCTGCCCTCAGAATGCACCAGAAGAAACATTTATTCAAGATCTTAAGTAAGCAGGAAAAAATAGGTGACATGTGCCATGAAAACTCAGATCTCTTGGAGAGTCAACTGGGCACTGATTCGGAAGACAGTGACCAAAAGGATGATATACAAACCTTTGCTGAAAATGTTGAGTGACGACAGCAGTTAGGAAAGGCCTCAAAAAGTTGTTTGTGAGATTGTTTTTCAGTTTTTTTAAGTTTAGTTTTGTTCACTTAATAGTCACAAAGGAGTGGGGGGGGGGTTAATTCTCATGTGTGTAAACTCAAAAAAAAAAAAAAAAAGGATCCTAGCACCTACTTTGGGTTTGGGTTTTATCATTCACTTCACACAGAGTGCATAAAAAACAAAATAGCTGAGTTCTCTAAGGACCCAAGTGTTTGTGAAGGCTAATCAAGTTCTGAGCTGTGGTATTTTGAACAGTGAAAAAAAGCAGCTGAATTTTGGCCTAATTTAAAACTTTCCCATGTGCGCTAATGAGGACTGCTGAACTGTTGTTAGTCACTGGAGAAAACAAGGGTCAGAATCATGAAAACGGCATCTCTGAGATGAGTGTGTTAAATGCTAACTGAGCTATGACAGTATTTATTCCCATCCAGTTTCCGCACTATTAATCTTTGTTTAAATTAATGGGTATTTACAAAATACTTAACAATATAACTGAAAATATGTAATGGGTAGCCTAAAGTAGGACATTCATACATCATCTAGAACTACTTTTCTGCAACATAAACCTTGTAAAATACATATATGAATCACTATAACTTTTAACTGTCTGTGACCCTTGTAGAGAACCATAATGAGCAATAGACCTGCAAATAATGAGGACTGGTGTCGAAATCAGTAGAGCATTTGGAATCTGACTTATGAGCATGTGTGTGCTTCTCGATGGAATGCTGTGCTATTCTCTTAAAGTATGGCTGAGCTGTTATTAAAACTGGTCTACTCAAGTCACACAAAACATAAGTCATGCCTTATCTATGGGGAAAGCCTTCCCACAATTACCTGAGATTACCTATGCTGTATAATCCTTTGCAGTGGCCACACCTCAGAGAATGAAGAATGGTCAAATTCTTCTGAACTCCCTGCAGTCTTCCAGTCATCCCAAGGCCATGGATGTTGGGGGCTATTCCACACAGACTTAAGGGGTCATATAATCTTGATGTCTCCCATTCTACTGAAGGAGTATGCAAGAGGTTGAGTACAAGACATACCTCTGTGCTAATGAAGTTTCAGGCACTTGGAAACAGCAGAAAGTCTAATGCCTCAATTGTACACCTTCTTGGAGATGATGCAGCCCACAGGTACATACTAGCTAAAAGGACAACAGAAGCCCCTCCCCCACTGGTGACATGAGCACAAGGGGAAGTTATGACCTTCCTTGCCTCAAATAGCAGCATTATTTTTGAGGGATGGGGAGATAGGAGGTGCAGGGACAGGGTTCTGCTCCTTACTAACAGGACTCAGAAGCATCCACAAAGCCAGATGCTGTCCTCATGTTTGCAGACATCTAGTTCCCTAGATGTCAAAGCCTCACTTACGTTTCTAAATCGCTTTTTATATTGATGCAAACTGTCGACAGACATTGCCCTCAAAAGTCCATTTGCCCTTCAGGATGTTCTTTCATGTGGACTAGTATCTTGGTAAGCTGGAACTCATGATTCTTACTGTTAAAACTGCCAGAATCGGAGGGAGGGAGGGAGAGAGGGAGAGCACATTCCTACCTTCCTTCAATCACCAGTGTGAGCAGACTTCAGAACGGTTCGAGAGTGGCCAGCAGCCACTCCTGTTCCCTGGATTTGGTAGATGGAAATGCTGGAAGGTTGTCATTATGGCTGGAAGGTTGTCATTATGAAGAAGTAGCTCAGAGGACTCCAATTTCTTCCAACAAATGTTGTGGTGTGTCCATGAAGAAGATTTAGTGTGGTTTGGGGTAGGCAAGAAAACATTTAAACACCCAGGAAAAAGGACATGATTCAAGGTGACCTTTTTATACTGTAGTTGTTAAGCAACTCCAATATTGTATCTGCATTTATCATTTGTTCATCTACTTTCACCTACATACAGTATTATATACTAGAGGAAAATGGGGAAATGCAAACAAATTCAACTTTATTTTATCCATTGTATATATGTACACCCACACCATTCACTTGTGTTTTGTTAAGGATGTAGTCACAAAGGGCTTATGAAAATCACTTTTGAATTAATAATTAGATGGCAAGCAATCCTATGATCCACTAATTTGTTCTATCTCAGTTAAGATTATAAAGCAATCAGTTATGTATTTAAGTTGTTTTGATTTAACTACAAATATAAAGTTATATGTACTAATGTCTCCCAGCCCTTATATGTGGATATTTTTTAAGTGGACTTGTATGCTGATAATTATAGACCAAAGTAAATATGGCAGAATATTTATACATAAAAAATAATTTTGCAAATATTTTCTATAATTGTATTATTCATTTAAAATGTTGATAGCTTGTGTTAGTTTCAGGGAGGGGTGTATATTTTGATAAAATACTTGACTTTGTAATTCTGTATATTCTATACAATTTATAGCAGAGCCATTTTAAGACAACTGGTTACAATTTTTTTTGATTGTGAAAATGTTATGAGTGGTGTTTAAGTATGCATCGAGTACATAACGACCAAGTAGAATTAAAGTTAAGTGTAAACAGTGAACATACTGTATGCTGTACAAGATACATTTGTCATTTGCTCTTTTAGCATCTGTATTTTGGTGAGAAGATATTATTAAATACAGATGTTAAGGATTGGAAAGGTCTAATTTTATTTTTAGAAATAATATAAATTTCTTTTGCTTGATTAAAATAGCTTATTCCTACATTAAGTCTCCTTTTAAATGTCTTAGTGTTAATTCTTTTATGCAGCTGTTTCATCCTTGTGAGTCATGGCTTTGTTGCACACAATACTCATTCAATATAATTGTTTCCTTGCATACATTTCATGGAACCTACATGCTTAGGACTTATAAACTGCGATATTAACAAAATGCAGACCAGACGTGGTGGTGCACACCTTCGATCCCAGCACTCAGGAGGTAGAGGCAGGTGGATCTCTGAGTTTGAAGCCAGCTGGTCTACATAATGAGTTCCAGGCCAACCAGAGGTACCAAAAACAACAACAAAAATTGAGTAAGAAACATTGAATGCTCTAGTAAATGAGTGTTGGGATCAGCCTGATGTGATGACAGTATCTCAGAGTGAAATACTCACTTGAAAGTATTCTGGTCTCACAGAGAACAAATTATATTTACTGAATCCCAGGCTCTTAGCAGTGTCTTTAAATCTAGGCTTTCATTATCAACCCCGGTTCTGAAGAGAACCCCATTACCTATTTTGTAGTGAATTTGAAACAGTTCCCCAGCTTGACAGGGTAATGGTTTTCCTGATTCTAAAGTCCATATGTTTGAACTTTCTCAGCCCTTTTAATAAAAATGAGTATAGCAAACTGGAGAGTGAAGGGACAAGACAGTCTGGCAGCTTTGGAATGTTCTAGAGGCTTCTGTGGAGTGGGCCGAAGGAGGCTGTGTCTAACTCAGTGTCATATGTCCTTAGCTGCTCTTATGGTCTAGAGGTATTGCCCCCATAAAACCTCTTTCCAGAGTGTCTGTTTGACTGTTTTTTCAGACAATGGCATGAAGTTATAATTTCATGCCGCTGTCAGCCAGAAATCTGTCACATGAAGAAAAGTGTTCCATTGCCACAGACTATATTCCTAACCTTAGCTGGCCGTCCTGTGGCAAATGCAGTCAGTCATGAGGGGAAATGTGGGAAGAGGGTTCTGAGGGTCAGAGAATACAACCCACCGACACCAGCAAAGAAATGCACATTCTTTTAACATTTACCAATGGCTTCTTGCTGCATCACTTTTCTGTTTGAAGGGCAAACAAACCAGATTTACCCAAAAATTGATAACTGCTATCTACTAAAAACCAACTGCATTATCTAGTAGCCAGGCATGATGGTACATACCTTTTATCCTAGCTGGGAGGCAGAGGCAGGTGGATGTCTGTGAGTTAGAGACCAGGCTGGTCTATATAGTGAGTTCCAGGATGGCCAGGACTATTCAGACCCTGTCTCAAAACATAAAAGCTGGTAGTAATTAAAGTACACACATTAAAAGCATTTAAAATAAGTCAGGTGAGGCAATACCATTGGTACGTATTTTTAAAAATTCACATTTCAGTCACCACCTCGTTGATATGGCTTTCCTCCATCGCCCATCGATCTCTTTGCAAGGATGCTTCCAGCTTGGATTTTGTCCGTATCAGAACTTCTTACCCTCCCTCTCACCGGTTCCTGGCCATCTATTGACTTTTCCTTCCAGATAGAGCTGCTTTTTCCCTCCCTGGTCTGCACCCTGTGGCCCCAATTCTCCTAGAAATATGGTCACTGAGCAGGTATGTTGGCATGCAGTAATCTCTCCAATTATAGACAATGGATGGGAAACCTAGTCATGTCAGAAATGCTATGTTTATTATTTGGCAATAGTAAAGGCATCAATACTATAGTAAATGTTTTCGTGGGCGAAGGAGATAGCTCAGTTAGAAAAAATGACTGCAATCAAGTCCAACAGCTGGGTTTAATCCCTGAGGCCCTCATGGTGGGAGGAGAGAACTGACTCCCGCAGGATGCCCTCTGACCTCCACACATGAGCTGTGGCACAACACACACACACACACACACACACACACACACACACACACACACACACACACATTATTTTTTATTATTATTATTATTATTTATTTATTTATTTTTGGTTTTCAAGACAGGATTTCTCTGTGTAGCTTTGGAGCCTGTCCTGGAACTCACTCTGTAGCCCAGGCTGGCCTTGAACTCACAGAGATCCACCTTTCTCTGCCTCCTGAGTGCTGGGATTAAAGGCATGCGCCACCACCGCCAGGCTTAAATATTTTTAATGTTCCTAAAAAAATCAAGGTTAGTCTTCTGATAAAAGTTATGCCTTTTGAGTAATTATAGTTGTAGGTATTTTTTGCCTAACATTCAAAACTTTTATAGGTAGAGATTTTAAAAGATGGATCAATGCTAAAATATATAGAATTCTTTTCTGGCTGTTGTTTGGTTTTAATTTGGGTTTTTTAAAACAGGATCTGGCTATGTAGCCCAGGCTTGCCTCAAGTCTAAGATCCTCCTCCTTCCACTCCCCACATGCTGTGATTACAGGTGGGCCTGAATGCTGTGGGATATTTGTACACTGTGTAAAAGATATATTGCTCTCATTGGTATAATAAAGAGCTGAATGGCCAATAGCTAGGCGGGAATTATAGGCGGGACTTCCGGGCAGAGACAGAGGAAGTAGGAGGAATCTAGATGCAGAGGGAGTTGGACATACAGAATGAAAGAAAGGTAAAAAGCCATGAGGCAAAACATAGATTAATATAAATGGGTTAGTTTAAGTTATAAGAGCTAGTGGGGCAAGTCTAAGCTGAGGCTAAACTTTCATAATTAATAATCAATCTCCATGTTGTTATTTATGAACTGGCGGCCCAAAGAAAAATCCATCTACACCTTAATATACTTAATTCTTAGTATTATGCATTTGTCTAGGCTTGGGCCATAAAAATGAGAGGCAGCATGTATGTTCCAGGTACTTATGTCTTATGAAGAAGATTGATGAAGCAACAGAGAATTAGGAAATTGACCCTGAGCTCCTAAGGGTTCAAAACCAGAGCAGAAAGAAGTTCTGAGGGAGCCCCAATCTTCACAGATCATGTCCAAGTTGGTATGATTGGAACAAAGGAGCCATAGGTAGATGTAAACTGTTCAAAAAGTCTGTGGGTAAGCCTGCTGGACAGGCAGGAGAAGGACACATAGCAGGTCTCTGTGGATCTTAGCACAGCATTGAACTTCTTTCTCTTCTAACACACAGGGCTGTGGTGGAACTGGGGAGGGACTGAGTAGGAGGGAACATGGGCTGAGAGGTACCAAAAGTCCCAAACAAGGTGAGGCCCTTTGGAGGTCTGGCGCAGAAAGGGAAAGTACCTGGTGCTTTTGAGAGAATCACTCTTCCTGTGGTGTAGTGAATAGACCACCAGAGAGGACAGGGCCAGAGACAGGAGAGCAGATGAGAGATCGAGAATGGGTGGGTGGGAGGTGGAAGTGACTTAGATGAGGCTGAAAATGGAAAACAGAAGAACGTTAGAAATAGTAAGGGCATGTCACATTCTGGACATATATTTTTAGATCTTTCAATGTGGAAATTTTCAAATGTGCACCTCCCAAATACCCATAATCCTATGCCAACAATTAGTTACCAATCATAGTTTAGTTATCTCTCCCCAGCTCTCCCTCTCCACTGTATTATTTTAAAGTAGGGACTGGCCTGGACAGCATACCATTTCATATGACTAATGCCCCAGGCTCATTCTAACAAGTAAATAGCGGGCTGGAGAGATGGCTCATCAGTTAGGAGCACTGGCTGCTCTTTCAGAGGACCCGGGTTCAAGTCTCAGCACCCACTTGGCAGCTCACAACCATCTGTAACTCCAGTTCCAAGGGATCTGACATCCTCTTCTGGCCTTCTCGGGCACCAGGAATGTGTGTAGTGGTGCCCATACATACAACGCTCATATACATAAAATAAGAAATAAATCTAAAAACATTTTTTAATTAATAGTTACCATCACAGGAGATAGCTGTCAGTAAAGTACTTCCCACTCAAGGCTGACGACTTGAGTCTGGATTCTGAGCACGCATGTAAAAAACTGCATGCATACACCTTGTCTCTGCTCTGGGGAAGCAGAGACAAATTGATTCCCAAGACTCACTAGCCAGCCAGCCTAGCCAAATCAGTGAGCTCCAGCTTCAGTGAGAGACCCTGACTCAAAAAGTGAGGTGGAGCATCATGAAGACACCTGACATCAACCTCTGTCCTCTGCGTGGGAGTACACAGTTATGCATGCACGTATGCGCGCGCGCGCACAGAGGCATGCAGCATGCATGCACACACACTCGCATACACCCACATGCCCATGTGCACATGCACAAATACCACCCCCCCACAAATGTTACTTCATATGAAATTTCATCAGCTACATTTATTATTATTATTATTATTATTATTATTATTATTATTATCATCATCATCATCATCATCATCATCATCATCTTGGGCTAGTGAGATTGCCATGACCTTCATAGCTTTGGATGTGACCTGGCTGGGGTAAAGGGAATGAAGAAATGACAGACACACATACAGAAAGACTGGGATTGACCAGGTGATGCTCCAGCAGCAGCCTGGAAACTCAAAGGCGTTTACTAAACACAACACAAACAAGGAGAGAGTGAGCTAATCAGTGGGGGTCTGTAGGGGAGCAGTCTGACCTGGAGTCCCCTGGGAGAAGGAAGGGGTGGTAGACACTTTCTGCACACAGGGTCAGCATCTGCACTGGGACCAGGGGAAGACCTTGCCACTGCTTGGAGCCTAACCAGGGAAAGTCTTGTCTTTCCCGTGGGTCTGAGGCATGAGGGTCCTTGACATGGTAGTGCTCATGTGAACAATACATTCACTCAGAACTTCATCTGCTCCCCACAGAGATGGCTAACAGCACATACTGCTCTCGAAGAGGGGCCAAGTTTGATTCCCAGAACCCACATCAGGCGGCTCACAACCACCTGTAACTCCCACTCCAGGGGATCCACAGCCCATGGCCTCTGCAGTTCATGTGCACATACCCTCTCTTGCCCCTGTCCCATATATACACATAACTAAAAACAATAAAAATAAATCTTTTAAAATTCTACTATCATAATTGTCATGATGTTTTATAATTTAAATCATAATTTGAGGTCTACAGTATA